CGGGTATTAAAGCATCGAGTGCTGCTGCAATCAGCTGCCAGGGAAGCGACTCCAGGCAGCGTGTGTGCACTGCACGCTCCAGCACGCTCAGATCCCCTTGTGCTGAAGCCTTTCCCTGGATTTAGTCAGGCCATAAGCACCGTGGGTGGGATTTGCAACAGCTCGGCTCATGCTTGGGGTGTGGGTGCTTCACCCCGGGTTTCACAGAGAGCAGGTTGGAGAGCAAACACAGGGTGATGTGGCTGGAAGTGTGGCACCCTGAGCTGGTAGGACCATCACCAGAGAGTCAGGGTTGTGCCAGGAGGGGCTGTGGCAGGGCAAAGGCAGGGGAAGGGGAAGCAGGACAGCCCTGATGAGGACCAAGGACTCTGGCCATCGCCCAGGAGGCTGTGGCGGCTGTGCCTGTGTGGAGCAAACAGCTTTTTCAGGTTAGATGTGGGTTTCACTGCTTGCACAATGGGTATCGTTGTTGTCGTTCCAGTTATAATCCTGTATAAACAAGGCTGACCTCTGGTTATTGAAAAGAGCTGAAAATAAAGACAACTTTCTCCGCTTCCTCGGATGCAGTGTCTGATTGCCAGGCTTGGCCGGCACAATCCTCACCGCGCTCCCGGCTCAGCTCCCGTGGCTGTTGGGGACCTGCCAGCGTGGTTGGCAGCAGGGCAGAGCAGCAGTGAGCACCTGAGCAGAAAGCCACTGTGGCCCAGGACACCTTCCCTCTGTCCCCAGTGCCCTTCACTTGTCAGAGGGAGCTGGAAGCCAAGACAAAGAGCAAGTGAGCAGAAAACAGCTGAGCCAGATATTCCCTGGACTGGGACTGGCACAACCGCCCGCTCTACCCCACTTGGTGACAGTCTGGTCCCTGTCTGGGGACAGGGAGGACATGTCACCCTTGCACAGGAACATGGCTGCAGCCAGGATGCTCCTCACACGGATGCTGAACCGTGTCTGCTGGCGCCCAGCAGCCCCCGGCTGCCTCGCTCGGTGCTTTCCAGCTCTGCCTGACCCACTGAACTATTTGTGCCCGAGGAAACCAGGCGCTGAGCTGGGCCCTGGAGAAAGGGAGGCTCCAGTGAACACAGCATTTCCCAGCGGATGACTTCAGCCTCCCGGCAGGGCTCACACACAGCCCCAGCCTGGAGTCCTTTGCTCTCCAGGAAGTGCCTTTCTTTGGGAAGCCTTTGTTCCAGCAATACTGGAGCAGCCCCAGCCCCAGGGGAGCCCACAGAACCTACTGGCACGGGGGCACCTCTTGGGGCACTGGGGCAGCCACCAGCCTGGGCAGCCCTGCACAGGTCCCCCGAATTCCCTACTCCAAGGATCCTCATCTTTTTGGGGATGAGGAAGCAGGTGCAGGTGTAGGTCACGTCCATCCCACCTGGCTGCACTGCTCAGGGTACCTGTGCAGTGTGGCCTAGTGATAACTATTAGCTATAATTAATAACAGATCTCTTCCTGTGAAACATCTCATTCATCCAGTCAGACACACCACAGCACCAGCCACACACTAGTGGTAATTTTATGGTGATTAATTAACCAGCAGCATGAACACATCTACAGGTGAGGCTGGTCCATGCGAGTGAATCAAGGCAATGCTGGGCACCACAGGAGGGTACAACACCTGCACCCAGGCACCAGGCCCAGGGACTCATCCTGCCCCTGACCCTGTCACATCACCTGCGCCCCTTGTGACCTGTGCCCTCTGCAAAATCAGGATAAAAAGCAATTTTCCCATCACAGTTTGTGTCCTTGCTGCTGCTGTGATGCAGGGTCCTGCCACCATCCACCTGCCACCTCTGTTATCTGGATGCAAATTTTGAGGGTAAATCCCTTGGATTTGGTTGCACAGCCCCAGCCTGGGGCTTCTGCACCAACGTGCAGCCATCAGCAACAGAAATAACCATCAGGCTCAGCTGGCAATTCTCACTTTTCTCTTCTTGCCATCCCCACCAGCCCCACTTTGAGCCCCCAGATGCCCAACACCCCTTAGGATCGTCCAGGCGGTGCCACATCTATTTTTAGGCGGGTGGGAGCTCAGCGTTGGACCTGGCTGGGAGGAATAACCGGGAGCGAGCGGGCAGGCTGGGGGCGGGGAGGGAAAACGCCTTTGTGCTGGGGAGCCGTCCCGCCACGCTTCCTCTGCTAGGTGTGGCGCTGGGCTGTGTGGGATGCTAGGAAGGGAAACCAGAGGCCGGGGTGGGGTCAGCCAGCTGCCAGCTCAATAAAACTGAGGAGGGAAAGAAAAAAAAAATTGAACTAAAGAATACTCAACTCCTGAGAGCTGTGTGCTGGACTGGGGTCCAGCTCACCCGGCTCCAAGGCCACTGAGGAGGGGGGGGGGAGAGGTCACTCGGCTGGCATGCACTGATCCTGGCCCTGCCCAGGGATGTCCAGAGCTTCATCCCTGGTCCATCTCCCTCCCAAGAAAAGCTGTGCTGGGCACAGACCCTGCAACTTCACCCCCCACCTGGCTGAGAGGGGTGGCATTGTCCATGATGGCAGGCAGCACACCCTCTCCATGCCCCTCACAGGCTGGGTCAGGTATTTCTTGGGTGCTTTACACCCAGGCATTTTTGGGTGCTTTACATGCTGCTCCATCCCCCTCACAGCTCTCCTTCCCCTCTTTCTCCTCTGCTTTGCATCCTCCAAAAACCATGCCACTCACCATGGCTCTTCCCCCCATTCCTTTTTTTCCTTCCTATTCATTCCTTTTTTTCCTTTCTTCCATTTTTTTCTTTTTTTAATGATTTCCTTAATGGTGCAACACTAACAGCAAATGCATGCATGAGGAACATCCCTACTGCAAGGCTGGGTTTGCAGACCTAGTGTGAGGCTGGGTTTCACGTGTGCTTGGAGGTCAAAATGCCCAGCTTTTCTCCATGGGCAGAGAAGGTTCCAAACTACTCCATTGCAACAGCAGCACTGCCCTGATCCCAGTCCCTGCACAGGGAGAGCATCCCATGGGGAGGAGGCCCAGCCTGGAACAGCTGCACAGAGAGCATGGAGAGCAAGAAGCTCTGCCTGCCCCTGGGAGGGTTTGCCCCACTCTTAGCATCATTTCCAGGAGATGCCCCCACTCCCACCTTGCTGCAGCTCAGCCCCACCACATCCCAAATGTCAACTGGTGGCACTGGTTCCAATCCCAGCTCTGGGGCAGTTCTGAGCCCACCCAGAGGCCGAGGATGCTGCCAGGGCTGTGGGGGAGGCCATGGAGAGGATGTGACCAGGGAAAGCAGGACATGCTTGGCTGAAGCCTGGGAGAAGGGCCAAGATCAGTGTCAGGGTGATGTTCCTGGGACATCCCCAGCAGCTGCCCAAATTGACTGCCCCAAAGGCTGCTCTCAGCAGCCACAGGTCCCAACCTGAGTGCCCCCAGCTCCCCCAGCACCCACCTTGCTGCTCCTGTGGCAGGGGTGAAGAACCAAAGCCTCCAGGGGCTGAGCTCTGGATGGCAGCAGGGGCTGCTCCTCTGGCATGGCAATGCTGTGCCTCCCTCTGGATGAGGGAGAGCGCACAGGAGGCTCCTTGAAGCCACATGGGCTCTCCCATGGACTGGTGCTGATTTGCTCTTGCAAAATATTAATAAGAAGCTGCAGGACCATGAAGGAAGTCTCGCCCAAAACCTCTGTCACTCCTGGCTGGTGATTGAAGAGTAAGTGAGACACAATTTTTTCTTTTTCCTTTTTTTTTTTTTAAAGGCCTTTGTTTTGTTTAGGGTTAACAGCAGATCGGCATTTCCAAATCACTTCCAGACACACAGAAACCATGGCATGCAATACCCCACGGCTGCGAGAGGCTGGAGCTGGGCTCTTGCGCAACCTGGTGCCCCAAGTCTTCCTAACGCCGAGGTTCACATTTCAGGCTGGGGTCTGGGGCATGTCCACAGCCAGAGGGGGCTTGAGGGCAGCTACCCGGAGCTGGGACATCTTTCCCAAGTCAGCTCAATTGCCCGGGGGGTGTCAGAGGGCAGGGACAGTGAGCCAGCACATCTCCTTGACTGCAAACGGGTCCCGCAGAGTTCATAACTCCCCGGTGCCAAGGGCAGGAAGGACCTTCGGACCACCTAGCCTGATGCTTGGCGCTGCAAATCCCTGCTGGATGGCAGCCAAGGGAGCTCACCAGTGACCTGGTGTCAGGGGACGTGCTGCTCCGCCGCGGCTGCCAATACCCAAGGTATCAGCATAACCATTCCAACTCCAGCAGCTCCAGAGGCTGGTTTTAGCTGCAATCACCTGGCTGCTGGTGAACCCCCCATTCTACAACAGTCCCTAGAAAACACTTTTCATGCGAACGGTGCTAAAAATCAAGGAACCATTTCTCTCCCCCCACCTCGGCATTGAAATTCCCACCAGAAAATTGCCGGGGGAAGAGGGCTCGCCCCTGCCTTTATCCCAGGGCTGATCCCGACCCCGGATGGGGAACGCTGGCCAAAACACACACACGGAATAAGTCATGAGAAAAATAAATGCCGAGCCCTCAGCATCCCTGTGCTCCTGCGTACAGCCTGGCAGGCAAAGCTGAACACTTCCCTGCACGGTGGGTGGTGGGAGGCAAGGGTAGGGCACGGAGCAGAAAAGGGGCTTGCAAAATAAATAATAAATAAAAAAAAAAGAAAAAGACAAAAAGAAAGTCATACGGAAAGGCAGAGAGGCATCCAAAAGGCATGAAGAAAGAAAAAAAGAAAGAGAGAAAGAGAAGGCAGAGAAAAAATTAACAACCCTCCTCCTTGGAAGGAAGAGAACTAGGCAGCAGCGTCCCCACCGGTCCCGGCTCGGCCCTGCCCGGGTGGCTTTTCCTGCTGGTGCCTGGGGACGCCCCCCTTCCTCCTCCTCCTCCTCCTCCCCCTCATCTCCTCCTTCTCCTCCTCCTCCCTCTCGTCTCCTCCTCCTCCTCTCCCTCTCCTCCTCCTCCTCCTCCCCTCGCCCAGCTGATTGGTCCAGCCCGGCTATATTTTGCCCCTTCCAGCCCAGCATCATCCCAAAAGTTTTTTTTGGGGGGAAAAGGGGGAAAAAAATAAAAAAAAAAAAGAGAGGAAAAAGAAAAGAAAAGAAACCAAAACAAACGCGGGCGATCCCGAGTCCCCCGAAGGCAGGCGAAGGAGGCGAGCGGCGGGCGGCTGCTCAGCGGTGCTGGACTCGGTGGAACGCGGCGGGACCCGATTCTCTCTCCGGCACCCGGTCGGGTCTGACACAAAGTGCTGTCCAGCTGGAATGAATATATCTGAGTCTAACTACTGCCGAGAGGAGATATCGCAACCCCGGGGCGACTGTTCATGGGTCACCGCCGCCGTGCCGGCCGCTGAGCCCGGGCTCGCCTTCCCGCGCCCCCCGGGAGCCGCCTCCCCCTCCAGCCGCACGCCCAGCCCCGAGCCCGGCTTCGCCTTCGGCCCCGGCCCCGGCGGCGCGGCCCCCGGCGCGGCCCCCAGCCGCACGCCCAGCCCCGAGCCGGGCTATGGATACAGTCCCCCGGCCGGCCGCCCCGAGGGCAAGGCCGCCGAGGATTCCCGCATCCGCCGGCCCATGAACGCCTTCATGGTCTGGGCGAAGGATGAGCGCAAGCGGCTGGCGCAGCAGAACCCCGACCTGCACAACGCCGTGCTCAGCAAGATGCTGGGTGAGCGGGAGGGGTGCGGGAGGAGGGCTGGGGGTGGGGGGGATTCGGGGATACGGAGCTGAGGATGCGGGATGGGAGAGCACGGGGCTATGGGATGCCGGAATGGAGCTAGGGATGCGGGGATGCTGGATTACAGGGATGGGGATGAGGGGGTGCAGGCTGGGGATGTGGGGATGCAGGCTGGGGATGTGGGGATGCAGGCTGGGGATGTAGGCTGCAAGAGCACAGGGTTGTGGGATACAGGCGTCCAGAGCTGGGCATGTGGGAATGTGGGGCTGGGGATTCAGGCTGCAAGAGTAAAGGGCTGCAGAATGGGGGTATCGAGCTGGAAACACAGGGATGTGGGGATACAGAGTTGGGTAATACAGGAGTGCAGAGGTACAGGGTTGGGAATGTGATCTGCAAGAGTACAGGGCTGTAAGATGCAGGAGTACAGAGCTAGGGATGTTGGGGTGCAGGGCTGGGGTTGTGGGGATAGGTTGTTATGGGTTAGAGCATCCAAGACAGTGGAATGAAGGAATACAGGGCTGGATATGAGAACTGCAGGGGTCCAGGGCAGTGGGATGAAGGTGTAGAATATATGTTGCAGGAATACAGGGAGTCAGGGTTGGGAGTGTAGGATGAAGCAGTACAGGGATTTGGGATGTGCACTGCGAGGATACAGGGCTGTGGGATGCAATCTGCGAGGATATGAGGCAGCAGGATGTAGGATAAAAGGACATGGGGCTCTGCTAGCCAGGCTGCAAGGATATGGAGGTCCAGGAGCTGCATAAAAAGGATGGGGTGCTGTGGGATACAGGGATAGGGTGCTGTGGAATACGAAGATGGGGGATTCAGGTCTGCAGGCTGCAAGATTAGAGAGCTGTGGGCTGTGAGCTTTAGAGATATGGGTTGAAGCAATACCAGCTGAAGGCTTCAAGAGTGCAGGGCTACAGGGATGTGGACTATAAGGATGCAGGGCTGTGGGATCAAGAGCTGTGGGATGTGGTGTTAGAGGATGGGGGACTACGGGAATGTGGGATGAGAGGATACAGAGCTGCATGTAGGCAAGATGCGGGGAAATGAGGCTTCAGGATGCAGAGATGCAGGGCTGTGGGGTTTGCAGCTGTGGGGATGCAGGATATGGGAATACAGGCTGCAGGATGCGGGATACATGACTGTAGGATGCGGGATGTGGGAACACGGGAAGCAGGATATGGGTAGATGGAGCTGCAGGATGCGGGCCTACGGGAAGCAGGATATGGCCAGACGAAGCAGCAGGATGCAGAGACACGGGGCTGCAGGGTGTGGGGATGTGGGATTCAGGATATGGCACTGTGGGGTTTGGGGATGGGTGATTTGGGCAGCAGAAGTGCGGGGCTGTGGAGGTGGGATGCAGGGAAGGAGGCACACCAGGGGCTGGACTGTGCCATGGGGCAGTGGGAGGCAGAATCCCCAGCCCTGGCAGAGGGGTTCCCGCGGCCCCCCTGGGTGTTGAACCCCTGTTCTCCCACAGCACTGAAGTGCTGGGCGCAGCTGCTGGACACGGGAATAGCCTGGCTTGGGCTCCCATTCCCCAGCTCTTTTTATGCCAGTGCTGGGACCACACTCAGGTGCCAAGCCATCCGAGAGAGCCCTTCCCACCCAAGGACTGCCTCTCCCCAGGTGTCCCTGTGCCCTGGCCGGTGCTGGGTGGCTGAGCCGTTGTCACAGAGCTTCTCTTTCCCCCTCCAGGCCAGTCGTGGAAAGCGCTGAGCGCCAGCGACAAGCGTCCCTTCGTGGAAGAGGCAGAGCGACTGCGAATCCAGCATCTCCAGGATCACCCCAACTACAAGTACCGCCCAAGGAGAAAGAAGCAAGCCAAGAAAATCAAGAGGATGGAACCCAATATCCTCCTGCATAACCTTTCCCAGCCTTGCAGTGACAACTTCAGCATGAGTCACCATGGCGGCAGCCAGCCGGGCCACCCCCAGCCTCCCCCACTTAACCACTTCAGAGAACTCCACTCCATGGGGTCGGATATTGAAAACTATGGCTTGCCAACTCCTGAGATGTCTCCCTTGGATGTCTTGGAACAGACCGAGCCGGCGTTTTTCCCTCCGCACATGCAGGATGACTGCAACATGATGCCCTTTCGCGGCTACCACCACCATCACCAGATGGAGTTTCCCCAGGAGAAGTGCATGGGGCGGGACGTGGCCGTGCCCTATGCGCAGACCCCCTCACACTTGGCCGACGCCATGAGGACTCCCCATCCCTCCAGCATATACTACAACCAGATGTGCTCGGGAACTCAGAACGGGCTTTCCGCCCACCTGGGCCAGCTCTCGCCCCCGCCTGAAGCCCATCACATGGAGAGCGTGGATCACTTGAACCAAACCGAGCTCTGGACAGACGTTGACCGCAACGAGTTTGACCAGTATTTGAACATGAGCAGGACTCGTCCCGAAGCCTCGGGACTCCCTTACCATGTCTCCCTGTCCAAAGTGACTCCTAGAAGTATCTCCTGCGAGGAGAGCAGTTTGATATCCGCCCTGTCCGATGCCAGCAGTGCTGTTTACTATAGCCCCTGCATCACCGGTTAGGTTGGTCCCACGGCACGATGCACACACCAGGAGAGCCCCGACTCTCCTCTAAAAGCAAAAAACCATCCTCCTTTAACCACGAGCTCCATCATATTTAGAGTATCTCATTAAATGCATCGCTTTCTTGTTTGTTCTTTTTTATTTTGATTTTTTTTTTATTTTTTTAGAGACAGATCATGCTGAACTCACTGATATACCGTATAACTATATAACACAGATAGACGCCTTTCCCCGCCGCGCTCCCTGCTCCAGCCCTCGGCAGGGCACAGCTCTAGCTCCCACCAGCTCCAAGGGGCATTTTAAAGCCAATTCCAGTAAATCCTGCCTTAAACAACCACACCAGGATGAGTCGAAGTGACCTGCCCCCAGTATTTAACCCAAGGGCAGGCGAATTTGTAGGGGGAGAAACTTTTAGGAAGACTTTGCCAGGGCTGTTAAAGAGTCGGCGCCCATTAGGGGTGGGCTTTAGGACAGTTTTTACTGTATTCTCAGCAATATATTTTAATTGGGCAACAAAACTATATTTTTACTAAGCATTTTTATATATAAAATGGTATTTAATGTCTTTTGGGGTTTTTTTTATTAGACTTTTTAAAAAGAAAATGAGGGATATCCATGAGATCTAAAGCATTTATGTAGCAAAGCTGGATTTAAAAAAAAAAAAAACAAAAAAAAAAAAAACCAAAACAAAAAAAAATGGAGGAGAAGAAAAAAAGGAGATATTTTGTGAAAAGGGAATGAAAATGTAAATATTGTGGAACAATTGACTGGAATTTTGTACAAAAGAAAAATATGACTGCAAACACTTTTATTGTCTAGAACTGTATGGAGAGCAAACTGTTTTATACTGGTTAATTATTAAAACATCTTCATATAATTGTTCCCATCTTGTGTGCTTGTTGTGTGAACACATATTTTCCGCAAATACATGTTGTCCCAACCATTTCCAGATTTTTGTATCCGTTGATTAATGTTTTGACAACCTGGCAAATGTATTAATTTCCAAGCTGCCGCCCGCCCGCCCCGTCAGCCGCCTCGGGCTCCACGAGTGCAGCTCAGCTCAGTTCGGCTCCGCTTGGCTCGGCATGGGATGGTGGCCCAGGATGGGATGCTGGTGGCCACCCCAGGGCACCGCACTGTGTCGCCTGGAGATGCTCTCTGCAGGAAAAGCAGCTGTTCTCAGATTTAAATATAATAAAACATGTGATACCCTCCTCCAAAACGAGCCTTGGTGTGGTCATTGTTTTGGCAAGCTGGCAGCGCGTCGCTGCGTGGTCCCCACGGCTCACCCTGTTTCGTGTTTGCCCACGAAACCCCCAAAAATTAGAGCCAGGCTGCTCTGATGCCTTCACCCCGATCCTCAGAGATGGAAGAAAACCCCATGTGCCTGAGTCTTTCCACCTCCTGGCCTTCACTGGCTGCTTCCCGGCTCCAGCAGTGGCAGGTCTTGCCGAGCAGTCACCGTGCCCGGCTGGATCCCGCTTGGAGCTGCTGGTGCTTTGCTGGAGCTTCATCCCCCTCCTGTGAATCACTTTGTGATTTACAGTATTTTTTTGTGTTCCATTTGAAAAGGAGGAACAACAATCTGTTGCTTAAAACCCGGTGGCATCCGTTCCTTGAGCGCCGAGTGATTTAAACCAGGCTGATATCGCCAAAAAAGGCTATTTAAAAAAAAAATTTTTTTCAAAAAAATTGAATAGAAGAAGAGTTTTTTTGTTGTTGATGTTGGCAAAGAATTGCCTTTTAGGGGAAATGGATATTTAACAAATGACATTAATTTTCAAGCTTCTCCTAAATTAAATTCACATTAGTGTTAACAGGACTCAATCCTGACTCACTTTTTTTTTTTGTTGTTGTCGAATGTGAAGCGCTAATAAACGGGACCACTCCGGGGGCTGGCGACGCGTTCCCATGGAACGCCACAAAGGCGCTTCATTGTCTTTCCATATACAGTATGTAAAAAGGGGGAATACATGGAAAAATGACCTCACTACCTACACGGGAGGGCTGGCGGGCGCCCGGCGGGTGCCAGAACCCGCGCTGCAGCAAACAAACACAACACCAAATGAGAAGCATCCTGTGCCGCCGCCGATGACTATGAAAGGAAGCAGCCGGCTATGGGCTCCATCCCGCTCCGCTCCCTGAAGCGGCCTGGGAGGAAGGAGGTGAGGGAAGGGGCGGGAGGGGGGGGGAAGAAGAAAGCCCTGAGTTATTTTCCAGCCCACAGCTTCCAGGTACCTTCCAGGCGAGGATGCAGTCACTTCCTGCGGTTCAAAGCAGCGATGCGCAGGCTGGTCCTGGCCCAGCTGCCTGTCGCATCATGGAGGAAACATTAAGTCATTTTTCTGCAGCAGAAATTCCCTTCTTTCCCCATGGTTCAGCTTGCCTCGGATCTCAGAGGATGGTTATGAAACCCATTGGGGGATTTTTTGGCTGAAGTGCAATTTGGGTGCAGCGTGCCCTGGTTTCAGGTGCTCAGATGGGCACAGACAGGAGCTTCCCAAAGTACCTGCACTTCAAAACTGTTGAAAATGGTTTTTAAACTGAAGAAGGGTCAATTGAGATTAGATATAAGAAGCCTCTTTTTAGAATGAGGGTGGTGAGGCCCTGGCACAAGTTGCCTAAAGATGCTGTTGCTGCCCCATCCCTGGAAGTGTTCAAGGCCAGGTTGGATGGGCTTGGAGCAGCTTGATCTAGTGAAAGGTGTCCCTGCCCGTGGCAGAGGGTCGGACCAAGATGATCCTTAAGGTCCCTTTCACCCCAAACCATTCTGTGATGCATGCTCAAGGATACTGTCATGAGTCTACAGCAGGTACCAGACTGAAAGCTGTGATGAGTGGTCATTCCCATCCATAAATGCACCAAGGATTCACCATGCTGAACCCCCAGCTGCTGCAAAAACCCCATCTCACTGGCCAGCCCTACCCCAAGTCACAGGGAAACAAGAGAGAAGGGAAAGGAAAGAGGAAACAAAGCAGAGCAGGATTTGGGTCATATACAAGCAGGCAGAAGGACCCACGCCAGACTCTGGGAGAATGGCACCTCCTCCCATCATTTGGTGTTCTACACAGCCCTTTTCACCTAAACTCACTGTTTTGGCATCAAGTTTATCAAGAAGTGTCCCAAGCCAGCTTGGTTTGGGGCTGGTACAGACCCAACAGTGGTTTGGGCAGGCGCCTTCCTGCAGTGTCAATGGTGCAACATCATGGTTTAGCCACAGCCAGGACAGTATTTGTCCCTTTCCAAATCCAGGGTTTGGTGAGGCTGGTCAGCACCAGGGCTGATCTGGCTCTATCAAGAAGGCAGAGAGCGCAGAAGACCCTGGGAGGGGTGCTGGGTCCTTGGGAAGGGTCCTGGATCCTTGATGGGCTTTAACCATACCACTAATTTTATATATTCTTTTTATGTTTTCATTTATTGGTTATATGTTTTATATATTAGTTCTATGTTTATATATTGGTTTTATACATTATATATTATTTTTATATTTTTGTACATTTGACATTGTTATATACTTTTAATATTTTATATATTACTTTTTATATTTTTAACATCTATATTGTTTTTATCTTTCCCCTGTCCCCTTACAGCCACTCGGGCCAGGAAACCATCCCCCAGTGTTTTCTTTCGCTGCGTGCCAGTGGCTCAGGTGTGACATGGGACTGGAAATGGCCAGGACTGACATAGTTTGGGGATGATTTCACTGCCGTTATGGCTCAGGCTGGGGCTGTTACTGCGCAGCCCCTTCCGATTTTTATGACTTAATCTCTCCAAAGCTCAGGGCCGGATGGTTTTGGGCTGAGGAGGAGGAGCGAGGGGCTTTTAGCAGGTCGTTACGGCAGAAATATGGAGAAGGTATTTGACAGGTATATGGAAAACCTGACAGCCCATCCCGCCAGCTTTCCCAGAATTCAGGGAGAGGGGGAGGTGACATCAGGTCCTACATGGGCTTTATGGGCAGGTGGCATCTGCCTCTTGTCCCCTGGGGGGTGTGGGGCAGTGGGTTCTATCCGTATGTCTGTGTCCCAATATGTGTGTGTGCACAAGCATTTGTGTGTGTCAGGGTGAACACATGTGCAAGCACGTGTGCATCCGCGTGTGCATCCGTGTGCATCCATGTGTGCATCCATGTGTATCCATGCGTGCATCTGTGGATACGTCTGTGTATACACGTGCACATGCATGTGCATCCCTGTGAGTGTGCATCTCCACTCCTGCACATCTGCGCCCATATGTGTGCACGTGTGTGTGCACACATCCACATGCACACACATGTGCACGTGTGCATGTATCCATGTGTGTGCGGCCGTGTGCACACCCGTGTGTGTGTGTGTGTGTGTGTTCTGCTGGAGGTTCACGGGCCGGGTTTATAGACGTTCTGGTTTTTTTACGGCGTTATGGAGTGCTCAATGACATCACCCAAATATTAAAACCGCATGTGCCAGCCGGCCCAGCCCGGCAACACGCAGCTCCGGGCTCGCCCTTCCCGAGGCTGAGGCCACGATGAAGCCAGGGGCGAGTGGAATGCACAGGGTGACAGTCGGCAGCTCTTGGGCAGCCTAAGCCATCCCAGCACGGAGCTCACCATCGGGGAGGGAATGCTGACACCACAACCTCCATAAAGTCGTCCCAGCTGGGATGTGTTCGGGGAATTGGAGCCTCTTGGTCCGTGTATTTTGGGGGCTCAGTGCGTGGGAAGATGTTGCCGGTGCTGGTTCCCCACTGTGGCACCAGGCAGCTGCTTTAGACCAAGTGATGGGATTTATATTTTTCCCCCCAGTTGCAGAGAAAAAAAAGAAAAAAAAAAAAAGGAAAAAAAAAAAAGATTTATCAGAATCAAACCTGTTTGTAGGAAACGGCTCCAAAACATTTCCTGACTCGAGAAAAAGAGCACTGGAAAAAAAAAAAAGTGTTTCCAGGTTTTTTTAGATGGGAGGCAAAGCCTTTGGAGAGGTAATAGCATTCTGTGGTGGGAGGTTAACCAAAGGGAAAAGGTTGAAATGCAAAGAAAGTTTTCAAATGTTCCCAGAACAACCTTGCCTTGCCGAGCAGAAGCAAAGTTCCCAAACCTTCCCCAACTTTCTTTTTTGCAGTCCAGTTTGGGAAAGGAAATGTTTGGAAATCTCAGCTCTCCTTGCAGGACAGGAAAGGCCCTGTTTCCTCCACTCCGTGCCCAGAGCAGCCGGGCAGCAGGGACGCAGAGGGTGAGGCTGGATGCCCTCCCCAGCTCTGCTCCCAGCAGCAGGAGCACCGAGCTCTGCTCTGCTGGTTGCCACAGAGAGGGGAGGGCAGCTCCCTGCAGGGAACAGGGGCCATGGTGTCATAAATATTACAGGTTTTGTAAAGGAAAAAAAATAAGCCAATGAGGAGTCCTTAATGTGCCCTGGGAAGTCTGTGCAGCCTGAAACTCTTCAGCATTTCTCTTACTGAAAGTTCAGCCTCTACATCTCCTGTGGGGCTTTGGTTGTGCCCCCGCAGCTCCCGGCATTGCCCCCACCAGCCCTCACATGCCTTCCACTGCTTTAGGGCCTCCACAAGGACCTGGTCCTCTAGCCCCCAGCCCCACACCCACCATGTGCTCACCCAGCACCATGCTGGGGTCCCCTTTGGACTGTTTGGCAGGTTTGGGTCTCTCAGGGAGTCATTGGGGAGTT